ACTTTGAAGTTCTGTGTGACTGTCACTGTGGAATATGTGTCAGTATGGACTTGGTGATGAGAGCCACCATGACTGGTGCAGATCTGTTCGCGACTGTGAACGGATGGCTTCTGAATCATGGTCTTTTGTACTTTGTTCATTCAGTAACAGAGACTTTAATTTAATAAAAACCCATGAGCTTCCCTCCTGGCATTACTCCCCCGTAAAATCTACTGTGGTAAGAAGTCCTACTTTATGTTCCCATTCTTTTCTCTGCTTTTGCCTTAGGTCCATCCCTGTTGCTTTAAGGGACTCAAAATCAAAACCCTGTGCTCCCAATTTCCCCGCTACACTGTAAGAACTGGTTTAACAGTTTATCTACAGTACACTCTCAAAAAAACAGATAAAATTTGTACCTTTGCTTGTCACTGGGGCTGTACCCTTGTAATTGTACCTTTTAAGGTACAAAAATGGACTCTAAGGTACATCCCAAAGGTACAAACAGCATTAATGTACCATCAAAGGTACAGAAATGTTCCTTAAAAGGTACAGTTACCTACAGCTAAAAGTACAATTGGCAGACTCTTGAGAGTACAGCCCCAGTGACAAGCAAAGGTAGATCTTTTCTGCCCCCTTTTTTCTGAGAGCATATTCTCATTCGTATAAGTGTATAGCTGTTAAAGCAGAGATGGTAGCGTTATGCACTGCTATCTTAGACTATAACCAGAGCCTTGGGACTTCTGACCTTCCATGTGCCTTTTAACTATTTATCCCAAAGAGGGACATGAAGGGCTTGGAACCTATTTCAAACTGCATAGGGTACAAGGCAGGGGTACATTCAGGACAGTATGCCTGTCTATCAAAAATTGACCTTGTTTGATCCAGTATCCCCCATCACCCTGTTAACCTAATCCAGTCTCTTTGTTCCACCGGATGACTGGGGACGTCTGTTTTCAAAGACAGCTTACTGAAGATCCATACGCCCGGAGTCTCATGCTTATTTTACTTGCTTTGCTGATACTACTAGTGTGATTGTTTTGCACCCTGTAGGGTTGGTGCTGTTCAGGATAGCTCTGATTGGAGGAGTGGTATATTTCCTGGTGCAAGCAGGTGGATGACAGCTGGTGTCCAAATGCCAGGATTGGCTGATGCCTCAATCCCTCAAAGGATGTGTGCCAGTTCTGCTCCACCACTACAGAAAGTGTGGCTGTATTTGTGTAATGAAAAGACTCATGCGATGTCTGGTCTTTTAATCAGTGGTGTAGGAGAGAGTTTGACATTGGGGGCGACAGTGTGATACTGTAAATACAAAGGTCTGTTTATTGGGGGATGAATGAAGCCAAATTAAATATTGGGGGTTACAAATCCCCATAACCCCCATTGGTTTCTATGTCCGTATTTGTTTGGAGGTTTTTCTGATATGACAGTATCAGGGAGATAGTTTAACTCTTACCAGCAACTGTGCACTTCAGTGGTATTTGGGTATAAAAAGAGTACGCCTCTGGCTTTGTTTCTGCTGTTTCTGAGGGAGGCTTTTATTCTGGTAACGGTAATCAAGTTTCAAGTTTATAACACGTGTGTATAGTGTTGGGGGCAGCGTGTGACTCAGTGTGTTGAGCTTCTGTGCCTGCAGTTAGAAGGTCTGTGGTTTAAGGCCAGCTTCAGCAGAATAGTCGCGTCTGTGGGCCCTTGAGCAAGGCTCTAAAACTGCAGGTGGCTGCCCTTCGCTGCCAAGCTCGCTCTCACCTGTATGCGTGTCCTGGTGGGCAAAGAGAGCATTTCTCCACAGGGATCAGTGAAGTGTCATTATTAGTGAAATTTTCTACCTGCTTCCAGGATTGCGCTTGAAAGGAAATATGTAGTACAAAGAAAAAAAGAGTATAGTAAGTGGGATCAAAAAATATGGCAAATGGCGTCATTTTTGCCATCACTAGTAGGATCTATAGACATAGTTCTTTGCGTAGTGGCTCAGAATAACAACTGAGCAGAGGTTCTTACCAGGACAAATGACAAGTTTGACTGGAATCTCTCTGGGCCAGTTCACCCTCTGCGTCAGGATTATCTGTGCACTGGCAGCATGTTACTGGAGTCCCAGATTGCTGTTAACTGCCCCTGTCATTTGAGGCACGATAAGGAGTCAGGCATGTGGATTAACAGCTGGCCACCATTTTATAAGAAACTTCAAAACTCAGCAATGATAAATTAATATGTTCCCAGGCAGAACCCTTGATCATTGTTAAGTCTGACAGATACTTGCATAGATCTGTACACACTAGGGAGTCGGGTTGTTTCAGTTGATTTTAGATGCTTTCCAAAGGTGTCATTAAAGTTAATTGATAGGGGGTTTGAGTTAAAAAGTTGCTGGAAATTGGTCACGTTTTTAAGGAAGAAAAAAACAGTCCACAACCCAGTTGGATGATGTTATGTTCCATGTGATTGACAGGTCTGCTCCAGCTCCCACTGCTGCCCCTGCAGCTGGAGAGAGCCAGGCCCCTCCCAACCTTACCAGCAATCGGCGCCTGCAGCAGACACAGGCACAGGTGGATGAGGTGAGTGACACTGCGTAGACCAATGGCAGAGTGGGTTACCATGTAGTCCCGCCCTCCCTCACTTGTGTGTATATAGACACGTATTGATGTCATGGTGAACTGCCAAACTGTGTCTTGCATGTGGTACTAGTATCCGTCTTTTCCTAGGTGGTGGACATCATGCGTGTGAACGTGGACAAAGTTCTGGAGAGGGACCAGAAGCTGTCAGAGCTTGATGATCGGGCTGATGCACTGCAGGCTGGAGCCTCCCAGTTTGAGACCAGTGCTGCCAAGCTCAAGAATAAGTACTGGTGGAAGAATGCCAAGGTTTGTTCTTGTGTGTGTTTGTAGGAGAGTGAGAAGTCTGGAAATTATTCCTAATCCCACTTAAAGACCAGGGAGATTGATGTTGAAAGCTACATATTTGGTCTTAGATAGAAGGGAGCCATTTGAGAGCTCAGAGTCCTTAAAGTCGAGATACAGTAAAATCCACAACTTGAAGTCATACTATGAAACAGATTTCGAACAAACATGCCTGGGTCATACAGAAATATGATTATACTTTTCAATTTCACAAAATTCTTCTGAAAGGAAGAAAGGGATAGATAGCACGGTGGATCATCATTGATGGGATGCTTACACTAATCTTTCCTCTCCCTCTGCCAGATGATGATCATCCTGGGGGTGATTTGCGTGATCGTCCTCATCGTCATCATCGGTAAGAGAACCGCCATGATCCAAGGCGCTCTGTTCTTTGCTATGTTATTTCAATAAGATTTTCAGTGTGCTGGTGATCGCACCTGAGACGCCGTTCTGATTCTTGCCCTCTCGTTGTGTCTGTCTTTGCAGTCTACTTCAGCAGCTAAGCTGAGTGTGAAGCCGCACTCACAATTGCCCTGGCTCCTGACGGCAAGAAAAAAAACCCAAGATGAAAGAGAAAATTACCCACCTCTCATGCAACTGATTAATTAGCACCCTACAGAGCCTAAATGTGCCCCTTCTGGAACCCCCTACCCTCACACCACCCCACCAGCTTGGGAGCCCTTTGTCTTGTGAGTCTGTGCTTTCGACTCCTTGTAAATAGCTCCTGCATTTCTTATCTGTGAGTAACACTGATTCCCATTGTTGTTACTTAACGTAAAGACAACGCGATTATTGTTACGCACCAGATTCAATTAATATATATATATATATATATATATATATATATATATATATACAGTCTTTGTAGAGTTTTATTCTGAGATGTTTTTTGTAGGTTGTATGTGGGTGTGTGTTTGTATTTTATTTAATTTTTAAAATTTTTGTATTTGTTTACTTTGGCTTGAGGTTTCAGTTGCCGCCTGTTAATCGGAGTGTCTCTCGCTCCCCTCTCTCACTTCTGGGTGTTCTTTTTTTTTTCCGTTTGTACAGAGGATTTAATTTAAGTCTCTGACTGAGCCGCTGCTTGCTCTGAAGCGGTAATTTTTTTTTGTCCCGGATATAGTCATATGTAGCTGTTGGTCAGACTTCGTGGGGCTGTTTGATGTCACTCCATCGCGAACTTGCTTTCTGTAAACTGCCACAGTAGAAATGGACCAATATATGTAAATGCGTTTATTTTGTTATTTTAGTGTCTTAACTCTTAAAACATTCCTCAATAGCAGTGTATGTATTATGCTGTCTATATACCTTGTATGTAAAAGAATGTCTCAAAAAACAGATTACATTTCAGTAAGACAATATAACAGACATATGATGGCATATCAGGTAACTCAAGATTTTGATCAGAACGTTATTCTGGTCACGGGGAAGGAAGATGGACAGAAATTGGTTTTCAGAATTGCTGTTCATCTGGTATTTGTATTGTTACTGATGTGTGATGGGTATTTGTTAGCTGGGAAACCAGCTAGGGAGGATGTGACCTCCAGGTTAGGCTCTTCCGCTCTGCAGCGTAGGAGCTTGAAATGTAAAGTGGAGAGTGAATTGAAGGGAGGAAAAAAACTTTGCTTCTTGACAGTAAGATTTGAAAACAAGGAATTCTTAGTTTTGGTTGAAAGGAACTACAAGCACATTCCCATCCACAGCTTTGCGTTTTCACTTCTTGTGGGGCCTGCAGATTTGAGGAGGCGGTGTTGCCGGGGGGGGGGGGGGGGGGGGGGGGGGGGGGGGGGGGGGGAATGATCAAATCCATCTGAGAAGTTGAGAAGCCGGTCCTTGATGGCACCTTATAGCTGGGCGTGCAGCCACTGGGGAATCGGTAACATCTGCAGAGACTGATCAACTCAGTTGGGGCAAAGCTGTACCCGAATTTTTTTCCAGGGGAAGAATGACTATATATATATATATATACACACATATATATTACAGTTCTATATCTTATTTGAACGAGTTGAATATCTGTATCCAATCATTCAACAAGTAATGACTGAGCACAGGCAGAATGGTATTGGCCTCCCTTGTTTGTTCACACAATGACACACAATGGCCTTACAAACGTCTGATAGAGTGATGGACTTCAGCTACTAAAATGTCCTGTTTGGTTGAAGGCCGCTAGCTGTTCCATCTCAAAGGTGATTGCACTCAGGAAGGGCAAGCAGAAAATGCTGCTTTTCCCTTCGCAGTCAGACAGACAGTGCGCTCCATTTTGCTCCTGTGTGAATAAATGAGCATGCAGATGTTGCTGATTTAACTTTCCTTCTGCCTTTCTCTTTTACTCCCTAGTTGCTGCCTTTTTTCGTTTTTTTTTTTTTTTTATAAATAGAAATAGATTATATTTTATATATATTTTTGTGCTTGGAAACCAAACAGGGAAGCCAGCTTGACAACAACCGTATTTACTGCCACTTATAGTGAGTGTAAGTTTAGCTCACGTGTTATTTGCATGTCGTATGCGTGTTATCTGTGTTTTGTAGTTGTAGTTAGCTCTATAGTGAACACTGCCAAGCAACTAGGATATTTTACTCTGTTGAACTCTTTCCATTCCTCTTCCTGATTGGTCACATAGACCTCCCTGCCCCCAACCACATATTTCAATGCACAAGGACGACACAGCACATCCCCAGCCCATATTTGTTTAGTCCATAGCTGTCACCTGTCACAGCACCACATGCCAAGTGGTTCAGCACCCCCACCCCAAATCTGCACCATGCCCTACTTTTCTCCCTTCTGGTTTCTGTGTGTCACCTCATCCCTCTGTGGTTTAGTGGTGCCCTAGGAGTTCGGACTGGACTTGATTTAGTCACCAGTGATTCTCCAATACAGCGTTTGATACAGACCCTCCTAGCACTGGCGTGTATGTATGTCTGTGTCTGTTCCAAACACTTGACTTGAGCAGGGGAAATCCCGAAACGGATTAGTCATCTTAGACCAATAAGGTGAGCGTGGGCTATTGTCATGACGACAAAGAGGATCATGGGTGGAGGACAGAACACCAGCTGCAGCCATTCAAGATCAGTGTTGGGCCAGCCATGGCGTCATTGGCGTCACACATAAATTCCCGTTAGTTTTTCCATCATTTTTGTCTCTCATGTCATCGTATCATCCTCCCTCTCACCCCTCTTAAAGATGAGGCCTTAGGACACATTTATCCTATAAAACACAATTCCTATGCCCTAGGCTAATTTTCACTAAAATGACCAAAGACCAGCTATTTTATTCGTGCTGCCAGTTGCTGTCAAGACCTACGGTAAACAAAAAAGGTAATTATACCGTTAGTCTTTTAGATGGGCTTCCAGGTTCTCTTTCGGATTTAACTTTGGACTTTTTTGACTATACTTTAATAGTATCCCTCACCCCCATATTCCCATAAAAAGGAGAAAACCAAAGCTGTGGAATTCCTATCCATGTGACTTAGGAAATAGACAGGTGGAAAATTCCCAAAGGGAATGGTCAGCTGAGAGCTGCAGGTACAGTTACACAAAGCGAGCCAATAATCAGGGTAATCTGCACAGCGCCAAAATGCAAACGTTGCGATATTGTCAAGTTAGCTAAACATATGGTGTAAAAGACACATACTTCTGATTAACTGTAATAGCACAACTCTTCCTTGGAATTATTTGTGTGTCTCTGTGATGCTTTCATCGAACTGATATAAATGAAAAATATTTACTGCAACATAAACTCTATAGCTGTTAAAAAAAAATCTATATAGTGTGATATTGTTGTGTGGGGGTGTTTTCGGGGAAGGGGGTTCCTATTTTTCCAGGTAGGACATTTTCCAAAGTATAACAAAAATAGCCCTGAATTGTCCCTGAATAATAAGACAATAAGGCAATTTTGATTCAAGGATTTGATTAAAAAAGACAGAAATGCTCTCACCCAGGGGTCCTTGTCATCTCAGGGGGTTGAAATGACATGAGACCACTTTTCTAAATTCAAGACCCCTTTCTGAGGACCGTTGTTCCATCAGTACTTGACAGACAAGAGGACCAACAAGATAAATTTTGATTTATATGGGTGTAGTGTTTTTTTATGTTGGAACAGTTTATCATTTACATGTTTATGATGTTTTGGGTCGGTGGTTGGTTATTGGCTGTGGGTGTGTGATGGGAAGGGACAACAAGATGTCCCCCCGCCCTGTGAACCCAGTCCTTTGTCTTCAATATTGGAGGGAACCTACGAAGACACTGGACCATAGTAGGGTGGCGGCCATCTTGTTTGTTCCTTTTGACCCCACTTGTCCACATTCACTGCATCTGTTTTTGCCAGTTAAAGTGCTTGAGCTTCACATTTGTTGAGTTTCTATTTTGGATGAACTTGTGTGGTTCCATTTCTCAACACTTTTGCGGGGAACTGAAGTAAAGGCACAGGTCTGAGGGACACCGGGCTCTGCATAGCGGACAGACAAAACTCTGTGGTTTTGTAGGACTCATGAGATGAAGAACAGTATAGGCTGACATTGGAGGAAATTGGGGGTGAAAGTAAAAACTGTCATGTAACTGAAATTTAGAATTATTATTTTTTTAAATTAAATAATTTTTTGGTTTTTCGCTTTTGGAGCAATGTCCTGGAAATTTACAGTTTTGAAAAAGGAGCCAGGCTGATGTACTGATAACTGTATTTTCATGATCATTATTTATTTATGTTCCTACTTATTGTTTTTCTTATTTTGAAAGGGCTGAGTGGGGGGCTCTTGAAAGGTCTAGACACATTACTCACAATCGCTTGCCTTTTAGGAGGGATTAGGTTTGTAGATCATGAGTAATGTAGTCTTAAATACGTTTTTAGTTTAGTTAATTTCCATTTTAGTTGGAGATTAACAGAATGGATATGTAACAATAAATGATTTCATAAACCACAATTCCATAAACAATTGTAGAGCAAATCTGTTCTGTCAATGTCATATGCTGACAAAAATCACTGGTAAATATACATATATAATATATATAAAAAGAATCGATAATTATGACAACCTGTGTTTCTTGTTCCGAATTAGAGAATCAAAGTGTGTGTGTGTGTTTGAAAACAAATGACAACCTTAAAAAATAAAATATATAATAAAATGGAACCATACAATTTTGAGTCCTGTTTGGAGTCTTTCTGCGTCTAGTCTGACTCACAGTACTTTGTTGCATTCCAGTTTACATTTTATCGCCACAGTAGGCTGGTTTTGCTCTTCTGTTTGCTACAAGTGATGTGATTGTCTGTCAAGTAGCTGCAGCAAAAGACCTGGCACATCAGACCTCCCACACAACTAGTTACTTCACTCTGTCTCACTTCGTCTGAGTGATTCAACTGACATAAGAGAATCTTGCTCCTAGGGCAGAGATAGGGAGTGTTCTCACACCATTAACCCTGCTTGGGCTACGAGGCCTCAGTGGCTGGCACTGTTACAGTATTTCACATGTTCAGGTTCTCATGCCACCTGTGTGCACTTTACATCTTCTCCCCATGTGGAAATACTTTTGATTCCTTCCGCAGTCCAAAGACATGCAGTTTAATTAGTGTCTCTAAATTGGCTAAAATATATGATTGTATGTGTACCCTATGATGGTCTGTTGTCCAATCTTAGGTGTACCCCTGCCTCGTGTCCTGTACTGCCTGGGAAAGGCTCCAAGTCATCCCAGAACCCTTATCAGGATAATTGACTAAATGTTAGATGATAGCTTTTGAATCCAGTTCTAGATCAAAACGTCATAAAATCAAAATGTGTAAAAAAAAAAAAAAACATGAGAAGAAATAAAAGAAATAAATTCTTCCTTGTGCTGATCATTTCTGAAAAGTAATGAAAATATCCCAGGTCTATTCTCTGAATGCACCAAATCATGTTGGATTGTTTCTCAAGACCTCATACTTCATTAACACTTTACTTGGGGGGGGGCACAAGTACAAATCATGAGCAAATATAGTAACTGCATGATATGCATAATTGATTAATGATGAATGAACATGAGATCAGTACATAATAGTGGCACTTAGTTAGCAGTCAATTAATACATTAAGTAAGTGTACTATTACATTATTTGTGTCCCCTTAAGTAAGGTGGTACCCATACTTCTAATCTATGAAAGGACAATTTCTTAAAGTCCAGTTTCGCTCCACTTATCACCTCACTTAAACACTCGGCCTGTTCTAGCATATACACCTATAAGTGAATTTCCCAGCCATATTCAGTTTGAACTAAAATGATTTATTGCTATCATATACAATAACTTGAGGGATATCTATAAAATGCAGGAGATCTAGATTGTGTTGATGGCTGATTTGAAATCAACATACAGAAACTTTAAATGTGCACCTGTGGAACAATTAGAGATGTTTTTAAGATGGCAGGAAACTTGCAGTATGTGGTCTGCACAGTGCTTCAGTATGGCAGGGGAGACCAGGTAAGATGCATTTACTTCTTTGCAGCTTTCGTCATACTTCTATAATGAGGTGTGGGATGTGGCAGGAAGCCGACAATTGAGATGCATGCACATTTTGTGTAGGGAATAGTGGCAATTGTCAGTATGGCTGGCAAACAGTGTGAGCTGTGGTCATTCTGAATCATTTAGCCTTCGCATTTGCTCTAGAGACCGTTCACTCTGGCAGAGACTGATCATCTGTTGCATGGGCGATTTTCTTCTTGTAATTTGGTGATGGGCTGGAGGCCCTTCCAGAGAGCAGAGATGTATGTGTGTCCAAGCTGTTCCTTCAGCTTTCTGCTATATTTAGCTTTGCAGAACTTGTTTTATTGAGCTGATACTGGTCCTCTTGGTAGCCGAATCTGTTAGTTTTTTTTAACCTGCACCATGGCTCCTTAGTGAAGCATGGCTTGTCTTTGTTGTATCTGTGTGGATTTTAATCCCAATGGTTAAGGCAACACAAAGCTGCTGATCAGAAGTGTGTGTGTGTGTGTGTCTGTGTGTGGGTTTGCATAGATCACATTTGAGGACCAAATTGTCCCCAAAGTGTAGTAAAACCTGAAATTTCCCTACTTTTGGGGACATCTTTTGAGGTCCCCATTTGGATAACCTCAGTTTTATAAAAATCTGTGAATGCAATCAAAAAAGTAAAAATGCCAAAAGTCTTGTATTTGGGTTGGTTACTTATGGTTAAGGTTAGGGATGGGTTGGGGTTAAGGGTGTCATGATTGGGATTAGGGTTTTTCCCATAGAAATTAATGGACGGTCCCCATTTAGATAGGAAGACCAACTTGTGTGTGTGTGTGTGTGTGTGTGTGTGTGAGGTGGGGAGGGGGGGGTTCACTTCCTGTCAGCATTTCTACTTCCCTGTACCAACATCAAAGTGCACCCACAGCTCAGGGAGGGGAATGATGTCTGGAACGGGCCATTCTATGACCCTGAAATTACCCTGGCTATTGGTTTAGCACAGAAACCTATATGCTCCAGTGGGCACAAATGCTTGCCGACGTACACTGGCATCCGCCCTGTTCGGAACGTCTTCATACATGGGTCTGTGCATCCCCCTCACGGAGCCTGGAAACATCAGGAAGATGGTTAAAGGCAGCGTAAGCGAGAGAGATGGGGTGGGCAAGGTAGCACGACAGAGGTGGAGAAAGAAAAAGCAAGGGCATGATTACGGAAGGCTTCCCAGATCTACATAAAGCGAGCACAGGCGTTTGAGCTTGGAATCGTAGGGTCTGCTTTTTGGCTAAAGGGATTACTCACGATCCAGGTTGGATCTCAACCCACATGTGGTCAAATCTCAATGCTGAGTCACGTATAGTGCTGTAGAGGATGCCAAGGCTCTCCTGTTCGGCCCAGTTTGACTGCACAGCACACAGACCCAGAGATATGGTCACTTAGACATTAGTGTCGGGGAACTTTAAAGCAACACACCGATTGGAAATATAAGCGTTTCTGTATTTTTCATCAAATGCCGAGAGACACTTGCCAAAGCTGTTCAGCAGCAGGCAGGTTTCCTGGAGCGGCTCACTTTGCCGAACAGTTGGCATGAGTGTGCGTGAGAGCTTGGAGAGCAGAAGTGTGGATGATTTTACTGCTCCCTCCTCTGTTTCTATTTATTTATCCCTATCACTGATGCATTACTTATGCAGCCCAGTAAATACGGCTCCTTAAAAAAGAAACATTCTTTATATATTGAGCAGCTGATTAGCTGAACAGGTTGGGTGTCCCAGATGGACAAAGAGAGTTAGAAAAGCGAAGAGGCATAGCCTACAAAACGAGGGTGAAACACCTACTTTTACAGCCAGCAGAAAATGTATTATAAATCTGCTTGTTTTTCTGGTATCAGTCAGTTTCTAGCTGAATGTTAGGGAAATGTTGTACTTGGGGGTGTCATAAAATGAGATCAGCATGATGATGTCAATGAAATGAACAATGACAAATCTCTTTAACTCTTTAAGTCTCTTTTCATGAGTTATGGGGACTTACAACAAATTCAATATGACAATTTTTTTCAGGGCTTGTAGAGACATCAAGCCATGCCATATAATTATACGTTCAGACATTCTGACACAGAGTGATTGTAGTGCTAACGGGGAATGGTGAGTACATCTTGTGTAGGTACTGGAGAAAAATTTCCTTTTTTGTTGTAACTCATATGTCGTTGTTGTTGATGCAAATTGAGTTGATAACTGCTACACATTTTCATTAAAATATATTATTTATTTACATAGAGTAATAAAATTTAGACCGTGTTTCTGTGACATTAGACTCTAAAAAAGGCTATAAGATTAACAGAAGAAGGAGTGAAGAGAAAGTCTGCCCCTTATGCAATTCATCTTGAGGTGACCATTAGCCGAAAATGACACACCAAGCTACAGGAAAGACTTACGTGCAAATCAGTGAATTTATATTACACATTTACATAATATATTAAATTATATTATAGTATACCATGCTATGCATATATAAAAATAATATAATGTCAAATGCACTATAATTTAAATATACAAGATGAATTATGCTTTCGTCTTTAAATATGATTTACTTCAGGCATCGCAACACCACCACCTAGTGGTAGAACAAGAACATTTCCACTTTTAGTCTGATCACAGAGTAATAAAAGGTTTGCTCATATAAGCGATGGTAATTCGGATTCTGGCCGCAGCAGTGAGTCTCACTGTGCTGCGGGCGGGGGAGAGGAATTGGCAGGGTACGGCTTTGAGGCTCAGAGACTGATTCACAGCCCGGGCTTCACGTCACAGGGCCTCATATCCTGCTGCCGGCCACTGGGGCCCAGACTCAGACAATATGATCTCAAGTGGGAACAACCTTGGAAGTTCTGGAGAAGTACACTTCACCTGCAATTCCTGTGTCACCTTCAGTCACAAAGGGAACAACTGTGGTAGAACCACTGAGACTAACGACAAACAAGTAGGAAGAGAAAGAGAGGAGGGAGACACTAAGGCAGATGGAAGAGTGGGAAGGAAAACAAGCACATTCCTGAAACTGAACTTCTATTCAATTGGTATGCATCTGTAATCCTCCAACAGCATGAGCCCTGAGATAGAGAGCTAAATTAGTTGAGTCGTGGGTTTGACTGATCATCAGTGAGGACCACAAGTGTGCCTTAGCTTTGAGTATCAAGATATCAAGATACTAGTGCTGTCAACATATTGCACCTTATTGTACAACCCCCCCCCCCCATTAGCATCAAGGCCAGATGCTGAGATGGTCTGCAAATCTATGCACCATCGCAGGGGAGGGGGTACAGGGCATGCTGGGACAGTGACCTGTGCTGTATCTAAGGTGAGATGAAGTGATCAATTAGCACCTGACAGGGTAGCATGGATAACATGGTCAGAAAATACTGAAGAGGATCACATCTGTGTTTAGGTTGTTATGTTTAAAAAAATCAACCAATAAGAGTAACCAATGACAATTTTAATATACCTAAAAAATAAGGTTATGTGAATTGTTCTACTGAGAAAACCAAACGCTGTATTTCACCAAAATTCCCAAGTTTGTGAGAATGACCCATATTTTAATATTGTGAAATTATTAATTATTGTTGATACGTATCATTCAACCGTAGGTGCAGTCATGGGCAGTCGGTATACTGATTGCAAACTTATGGTTAAGGGCTTCACACCCTATAGCTCCTGAGCACAAGCA